AGGGATTGTGCATTCATGATCTTATCATGACAATGACAGTGTCTTAAACCCGTTCTCTAATGATATATGCATAATATGGTACCGTAGAAATATATATATCTATATATATATATATATATATCATATGTTGGTATATATATATATTTCCGGAAATTATGTCACTAGGAAATTCTTTTCCTACCACTATTAGGATTTTTAAATAGCTTATAGATATTTAAAAGGGATAATTTCACTTACCTCCCCTGAGGTTAGGCCTAATTACAGCCAATACCCTTAACGTTTCAAATATTACACCCACCACCCTTCAATGTGGCCGGCGTTAGATTCCGGTAGAAATTCAAGTGAAAGTACTAATATACCCTCTATTATTATAAAATATTATCAAATTATTTTAACAAATGACCATTTGTACCCTTGAGCTTAGATTTTTTTTTTTTTTTTTCCTAGGAAACAAAAACAAAACAATCAAACAACCTCATGCTACCTTTATGGAACAGATGATCAATCAAAGAATAAGGGATGGTTTCTGGGTTTAGAGTTGGATCTTCTGGATGCATGTGGGTTCAATTGGCCAAAGTGAGCTGAATAATCCCATAGGTAAAGTAGTTTTGGAAGGAAGACATATGGATAGAAAGAAAGAAGCAAGCAAGGACTGGGGTTTCGAGAACAAAGCACAGAAAAAAAAATTACGAAGCAAACCAGGCCACTGGATCTCTCCTTTCACTTGTTTCTCTTTCCCTTTCTCTTTCCCACCTCTCTGGCGAAGAACATATGGTCCAACCCGCTGGCCCTCTCTTCGCCGTCCTCGGTTTCCTCTTCTTCCCCTTCACCTGGTCCGCACCCGGAGGCCCTCATCACCGCCAAGATCGCCACCGCCTAACCCCAGCAACGACGGCCTGGAAATTCCTCTCCGTCTTTGAGAAATCTTCCCCGTCTTCAGTGACCCAAGTAGAGACCCAAATTGGGTTTCTTCGTTTCCTTTTTTTTTTTTGTTATCAGAAACTCCTATATATGGCCTTCCCTTTGACAAAATGTTTAATATGGTAATTACCTAAAAAAAAAAAGTTTAATATGGGTTTTCTTGAAATTTATTGTTTACTTTTTGGTATTTGTTAATAAAATAGACAAACATATGACATTAGAGAGATCTTGGATATAGAATTTTAGAGAGAAATTCTATATATAGACATGGTAGTTCAGAGAGACTCATACAGAGGAGATGATTTAGTATATCTCTATATATATATATATATATATAGACATAATAGGTCTTTTTGTCGGTATATTGAGGGCATTTAAGAGTTTTAAATGAAAAGTGAGGGTGTAAATGTCTTTGCAACCTTTTTAAGGACAAATATGATATTTCACATTGAGAAGAGGCTGACATCATCAAAAGACGGCGTTGACTACTAACGGGAGGGGCAGACTGTTATGACGGAGCTAATCTGGAGGGAGGTCGGTGTAATATTTGAAACGTTAAGGGTACTGCTTGTAATTAGGCCTAACTTGAGGGGAGGTAAGTGAAATTATCCCTATTTAAAATGGCCGCATAAAGAAATTCCAAAGTATTTTTTTTCTCTCAAAAAGCCGACGCCGCGGCCGCCTCCTCGTCTCTACCCATTGAACACCAAATCAATCCAGAAGCCAATCCACAGTTCTCTCTTAATCCAGAAGCCAACACAGTTCTCAGATCGGCTTCTTCAACATCAGGTAATTAATCTTAATTTCGATCTGTTTGGGGATCCAATTTCACTATTATTTCATGTTTTCCTTCGTTTTAAATTCTTATCATTCTGTATTGGGTTTTGGTTTAAATTCCATTTGTTAATGAATCGTGCCGATTGGGTATGCAGTTTATGGGTAAAAATATTTTCTTTTTTCCTTCTTCAAGAATAGAGTTCTATTGTGCTTTGGTTGTGGTGAAAGTTCAGAATTTTGAGTTTAGAATGAAACTTTTTTAGTTTTTCCATTTGTTTTTTTTTTTCTTAGTTTTTCTTTTTGTTACAATTATTATTATTGCTTTGTTCAGGTAATTAATCATAATTTCGATCTGTTTGGGTGAAAGATCCAATTTCACGCTTATCTGATTATTTTTATTTATTTATTTATTTTCGTTTTAAATTTGGATGATTTTGTTTTGGGTTTTGTGGTTTAAATTCAATTTGTTGATGAATCGTGCCGATTGGTTCTGCAATTTATGGATAAAAATATTTTATTTTTTCCATCTTCTCGAAGCTAAAATTAAGGATAAATAATTAAGAATAGAGTTTTGTTGTGTTTTGGTTAAGGTGAAAGTTCAGAATTTTGAGTTTAGAAAGAAACTTTCTTAGTTTTCCAATTTGTTACTGTATATTTATATTTTTATTCAGAATGTCACATTATCTTTCTTCTTGTGTGTGTTGGCAATTTATGGGTAAAAATTTGTTCTTTTTGATTTTTTTTTTTTTTTCTCTTTCTTTTTTGTTTTGTGTTGGGGTTGAGCTGATGCTTGTGCAAATCAGAGTCGGTTGGTTTTTTATGATTCTGGTAAAAGTTCAGAATTTTCAGTTTTGTTAGTAATGAAACTTTTTTACTTGTTATATTTGTTGCAATTACTTCATTTTATTTTTATTCAGAATTTTTATGTCAGTCACATTATCTTTTATTTTGTTTCTTCTTCTTTGTTTATTAATCTCCTTTTGTTGATGAATCCTGCTGATTAGGTATACAATTAATGGGTAAAAATGTGTTCTTTTTGAGGTTTTATTTTTTCTTTCTTATCTGTCAGAGTAGAGTAGAGTAGAGTTGTTTTTTGGTTTTGGTTTTGGTAAAACTTTTTTAGTTTTTCTATTTGTTACAATTACTTTCTTTTGTTATTTTTATTCAGAATTTTTATGTAGACACATTATCTTTCTTTTTGGGTGTTTGATTTTAATTTATTTTTCTTTGTTTATTAATCTCCTTTTGTTGATGAATACCAATATTTTTTTTTTTTTAGTTTTTCTACCTCTTGTCAGAAGTACTTTATGTTGTTTTTATACAGAATTTTTCTGTCTGTCACATTATCTCTCTTTTTGTGTGTTTGATTTAATTTCTATTTCATAAATTGTTTATTGATCTCCTTTTGTATCTCTCTCCTTAATTTCCAGGATAATGAAGAGGTGCCGCAGAAGGTTTAGCAGTGTGGAAGCTGTGTCACACTGCGATGAACTTGTAAATGAGATTTTGATTCGATTGCCTCTGGATGCCGTCTGCAAGTTTAAGTGTGTATCGAAGAAATGGAACAGTTTGATCTCTCATCCTCTTTTCTGCAGCAATTACCTTTCTCAAAGAAAGAATTCTCTTCTCCCATTGTTGGGATTCTTTCGGGTTTCTTGTTCTGCAGAAATTAAATTTAAATTTTCATTCCTACAAAATTGTAAGGAAAAGAAATTTACAAGTTTGGATTTGTGTGAAGACTATTTACTAGGAAGTGTTTCTCCTGAAGGCCTAATACTATGGCGTTCAAAAGGCAACATGGTCTTGAAATTCTACGTCTGTAATCCGGTTACAAACCAATGGTTAACTCTTCCTGAACCAAGACATGCTCCATCCTCACAGGCTTTCTCTTGTGAGGAATGTAGCAGCAAAGATGGTGATGGTGTAGTGCATTTCAAAGTAACTCTAGCTATTATAGAAAAGAGAGTGGGAGCCACATATGACGGATTACATTTAGAAACTTTCTCTTCTCGGACAGGCGAATGGAGCGAATCATTTATCACTTCTCCATCTGAATTTTCAGATGATCTTGACGAGTCCTGCGAATGTCATTCAGTAGGTGGGATCTTGTACTGGAAAGTCAGTAGTGGTTATTTGGCTGCTTATGATCCCAACATGGGGGAAAATCGTCTCTGGCTGATAGAGTTGCCTCCTCCTTGTCTCAAAAAGAGAAGGGGATTCTCTGTGGAATATGTCTTGGGACAGGCGTCGTCACGGGATGGTTGTCTTCTTCGGTTTGCCATAAACGTAAAAGAAAAATCGATGATCAAAGTGTTGGAGCTCAAGAAGAAGCTTTCTAGTTATAGCTTATCTCACATCATACCAAGTAGTGAATGGGTGTTGAAGGAAGAAGTGAGTCTGAAGAAGTTGGGCATCGGTAATTGTTGTCGCTTGATGGTTTTTCATCCTCGCGATGCGAAACTTGTGTATCTTAAGCAGGGAAGACTGGTGTTTTGCTATGATTTTGAGACTAGAAGATTGGAAGCAGTTGAGTATCATGGAACTGCCTTGCCAAACGAAGGCCTAATTCCATACTTCCAACCACCTTGGCGCCCTTCTTTGCCTTGTATAACTTGGACTTTACCTTCTATGTAACATTGTACAACTTTATTTGTTGAGATTTCAATTTTTATTTACCTTACTACATAAGCTAGCTTTTTGAAGTGCATTGGACTTGACATAATGTAATGCATTCTATGTATAGTCTTTGTAACCTTGTACACCTTTATTTGTTTCAGATTTCAATTTATATTACCTTACTATAACCTAGCCTTTTGAAGTGCATTGGTCTTGACATAATGTAATACATTCTTTGTAAACTTGTACAAGTTTCATATAGATGACATAAAAGTCTAACAAGATGAGTAATGCAATATGATCTCCACAACTGAGTAATGCTTAGTAATTTATTCAGAGTGATTATTGCTGTGATACTGAGAATCAAAAGAAAAGGAGAACAATTACATTATGATAAATCAAGTCTGTCAAACTAGGCTTTTTTAGAAGCAAATTCCTCCTTTCCAAAGCCTCAATAACTCTTCGCCGTGGTTTAAGCCTATTTTCAACACTGGTAGATGAGTGATGAACAAATAGGCCTATAGATAATATATTAGATGTAATCATATATGGTATTTTATAGTATATAAACTTATGTGGTAAGTAAAGGGATAAACTTGTAATCTAACAGTCCCTCAAACTCAATGTGAAAATTCAGAATTGTTGTTGGATTACAGTGTTTAAACCTGATCAGATACCAAGAAGAATTTCAGGGTTTAATATTTTTGTAATGATCTTATTCTTCTCCCAATAGAAGTATATATACTTATTTACAATTGTGGAGAACAAATATCAACTACGCTAATTATGAGAAACAAAAATACGACATTATTCTATATTGTATTGTGTTAATGAAGATTACATGCTGCCAAACATGGCCTTATGGCACTGTTACAGAGTTGCTACCAAATTCCAAAAAGTAAAAAAGAGTTTTGGCAAAAAAAAAAAAAAAAACACTGATCGGGCTCGGGCTCGGGCTCGGGCTCGGGCGGCTATGTATAGTAGTATCATCAGCTTTACCAACCGTAACCCAATTCCAAAGCCATTAGGTACCTGTAATCACCACCAATCATCCACTTTCAGCAATTGTGTGTGTAATTAAACCAACTAGGGGGGAAGGAAAAGGTGGGGTGGTAATGCCGGAAGGGGCATAGGGCCTAACTGAAGAAAAAGGAGAAAGCAATTCGTTATCAACTGAAACCTTGTTACAAGCCGGACTGCTAGACCATTTCATTTCAGTAATAGAAAAAGTGACAGACGCGATAAGGGTCTTCCCTAGGTTAAGGGATAGGCCGGAGGAACTTAGGCACATGCCTTTCTTTTAGAATGGCATTCTCTCCATCACAACCTGTCCTTAAGGATGTGGTAAATTACAATACAAATCGGGAGTCATTCATTCAAAAAATGGAGACGGGCAGACAGGCAAAGAGAGCCAATACAATCTCCAAACCAAGAACACGCGTCCCTCCTTAGGGCACCTCACTGCCTCTTCACATACCAAACTTTCTTAAGATTCACCTACAGATGGATCAAACTAAGCTCTTCCTACTGTAGCTTCCTCTACAGATTATGAAATATAATGCCTGACTATAACTACAAGAAGACGAGTAAACTAAGATTTGAAATCATTAAATTCTAAAAATAAGCAACCTGAGGGAGGCCCGCCTCCAGACAAAACCCTTGGAGATTCAGCAGCACGATGTTGAGTAGTTGAAGCCCCTGAATCCCCACCCTGCAGAAGTGGTGACACAAGGGTCAGCTTGTATAAAAATTTGTAGAATCACTGTAGCAAATACAAAATATTACAAAATATGAAGCACATACACATGATCCACGAACAAATTCACAGGGCTGAGACCCAGCACATACAATACCAGCATTTTCATGATGGTACCGATTGTTTATGAACAAAATTCCTTTGTAAATATGTTCAACTGAACCTTGTTGGCCCTGTATATGACAGAAATAGCGTTGAAGACTACTATCGAATACCTAATATTAATAGACACAACAAAGATATGAGGTTCTCACCTTGCAAGGACCATCAAGAATCCTAACAACATTGTTCACAAAATTTTTTTTTCTTGGAATTATCAAATGCTGTTTTGCTTTTGAGTTTGCACTTGATCTCAGTTAATCTGGTACGCACAATTACTTGTGTTTCTTTCAGACCCTTAAGAACCTTTTAAAAAAAAAAAAATTATAAAACATTTCAGCAAGAAAAATATAATTATATTTGAATTTGGAATTAAATCAGTCATCCCAATCTCTTCTGTTCCCAGTTCTATAATAACACCGAAGCCTTTCCTTTTACTGCAAAAAATTCACGCAGTTAACTTGACTGCAAAGAAAGGAAAGGAAAGGAAAGGAAAGGAAATGCCATAATGTACTTACTCCAACTGAACCAGATCTTTAAGCTTATACTCGTACACATCAGATGCTACCTCATACTCCTCCGTATCCGCACCCGCACCCGTACCAGATGCTACCTCATACTCCTCCGCACCCACACCACATGCTACCTCAGTGCTTTCCACAACATTCTCTGGAGAAACAAGCATCTAAACACAAATGGGAGTTATAATTGTCCGGGAAAACACAACAATGAATCATCAACAATTTTAAAACCACAGAGCATAATACCACTCACTTCCTCTTTCATTGTATCTGACAAGATAATCACATCAGCATCGGATTTTATTACCCAGTAGCACCTTGTGTAGCACCGGAGACCACCTTCACATGCAATCCGGGCATAAAATATTTGATAGCATCTTTAACATTTATAGGAACAGGTCCCTGCAAAAAATGAATAAATAGAAAGTTATTAATTATGAATACCGTATCTAAATGATGGTTTAAAAACAGAAAGAACATCTATTTTGTGTCATACCGGATTGAGTATCATCGACAATTTAACATGGATTAAGTCTTCCTCGACTCTCTCAACCTCCCCAATTGAATTCATCGCATCACCCTCGACAACAATAACCATATCACCTTTCATAAATTGACCTTTCTTCGTCGACACATCTCCATCTGCACTCTCAACAGGTTGCTGGAATTTCTGAAGCTCGTCAAAAGTCGGTCGAATGTTCTGACTGCTAATTGAATTAGTAGCCACAGTTTTGTATAAGAAACCGTCCTTGAACATCATGCCCTTTATATGTTCAAAACAGTCGCCAGTTATTGGATCTTGCTTGCGCTCCACACGGATATGCATTTCTCTGAAGATAAAGCATTAAGGAATATATTAACATTGAGTGTATCAGTTATGTTGCTAGAGTTGTATTAGAGGAAATGCTACCTAGCTTCGTCAACATTTAGAAGACATGAAGGAGGAAGAACTGCCTTCTTCTTTTGACCTGGTCCACATTTCTAAAACAATAATAAAAGAAATCAAATTCCATTTTCATGTTAAATTCATATTAACATGAAAGAGATAATTTGTGAACCATAAGAGAATTAAGTCTAGAGTTGAAAGCATTAACATTTAAAAGAGACATACCACTTTGCTTGCCACAACCTGTAAATCTATCCTTGGAATTAGTTTCACTGTAACACTTTGGCGTTCATTATCCACATCCACAACCTAAAAAATTAAAAGCCTGACGATTAGAGAGACATAAATAATGAAATAAGCTGAAAAAAGTGACATCAGTGACATTATGAGGGCGATGAAGAAAGGAAGAAGCTACACACTTTTGCAAGGTCCCCTTGTATATCCCGCTCTTCATTCTGACCCAAGCATCCTGGGAAAAACCAGCCTTAACTTTCACAGAAATGGTTTCTGCCATCTCTTCAATTGGAACAGGTTTTATATGTTTTGGATATATTTCTGATATGCCCCTACATGCCTAAAGCAAAATCAAATTTATTATTCATATATGCAGAAAAATATTATTGTAAAGCTCCCCACAAATATATGATTCCTTCCTAATGCATACATACCTCCTCCACATCAGCTAATTTGTCAGCTTCAATGTATATATAATTTTGAAGATGATCAAGAGCTGTCACTGAACAAATCTTCATTTCTGCTCCTTTGGAAAGGAACTTACGCATCATACAAACAGCAAGCTTTCGCTCGCAACCATTCTAGCACAAAAGAATGGACTTAATAAATAAATTACCATTAAATCAAGTAGGCTATTTGAAACCTGCCATTCCAGCTGATGAGGATACTGAAATTTATTGTTTATGAATATCATCTAGTATGATTCATGCTTGTGGGAAAAGGGAGAAACTAGATGCAGAACTAAATTTTATTGTCATGCTATTATATCATTTTTGTTTAAACTAAAAGGTAAAATCATAAAACCCCACTTTTGTTTCCAAAAAGAGTCATAAAACCCCCCCTCTTGTTTCCATAAACAGTCATAAAAATCCTTGAACTAAAGAAACTATCATATTACCCCTTTTAGTTTTAAAAAATCTATCGTATCACCCCATTCCGTTAGTTTGCCGTCTTAAACTAATAGAAGACAAACACATGTTTGTCACATGCTACGTTATTAAGTATAATATGACCAAATTGCCCTTGTAATTATGTGATGACCAAATTGCCTTTTCAGGATGTAAATTTGCACTGTTGGACCATTATTAGTCCAGCTGATGTAACCCCTCTTCCCTCGAAGGGAGGTGAGGGGTTCCAATACGGGCATTTGTGGGTGAGTATTTACCTAACCAAAAACAAGCAAAAAGATGCAAAATGAGAAAATGGCAAGGGATATGACTGGACCCGTTGTCTTTTTCATTCTATTTTAATTATGTATATACTAAAATACCACATTGAGGATGACGAGATTACATAGTTCAGAGATGAATACCAAGAGAACTCTAGCGAGAAAGAGAGCTTAATATAAACAAAACTGAAATTAAAGTTAAGAAATGTGCAATAGAGAAAGTAATGAAGATCCAGTGTTGACAGATACCAATAAGTGAATGGTTTCATCGCCTAAGAAAGTTCACGAAGTGTTAGCAGCTTGCTTATTTGTTTGCATTTTGCTCGTAGATACTTTTAATGAAATTCCATCATGCAAGTCAACTTAAAGGTCACTGTTGAGAAGCTAGGCACCATAGTTTTCATACAATAATTAGAAATTTTATTTTTTATTATTATTTTTTTTTTTTGCAGTTGTTGCGTTGATCCAGTAGCACTCGAGGGTGTTAAGAGAATTTCCTGAATGGTTTTGTTAAATTGAAAAGCAATTTGTCATTCTAACTGCTGAGGGTTTTGAGAGTTCTGGTTTATATCTCAATTCATGGGTCTGGTTTGGTGCAACAACAATGACGAATAAGGAAAAAAAAAATGGAAGCTAGACGCAGCATGCTAACAATGACTAATAAGGAAAAAGGGGGAAACAAAATGCAGAACCAAAGGGTAAATTTTGAACTTTTTTTTCTTAATTTGAAGTTTCTTCTAATATGTATGCGTACTTGACTACACGGATTTTACTCTTCCCCGCATATGTCATTAATGGTTGCTGTTTTTTTTTTTATGGCTTGCTTAAATTTTCTGCCTCTTGCGCTCATGATAAAATGTGTTGTTGTAACTCACATTTGTTCCACTATATTTTCCTATTTGTTGGTACTTTTTGACTAGGGTTGTCAAATCTACCGGCCCCGTTCCGCCCCTAATGGGACGGGTATGAGATGTTAAAAAATATTATAGGGGCGGGTTTGGGTGAGAAAAGGTGAACCAGAATCAGGTTAGGGACGGGGTCAGGTTTAGCATCAAAAAACCCAGCCCAGCCCCAAATATATATATTACAGTATATACAATACACATATACTTTAGTAACTTTATTTAATAGCATGCATTTATTGACTTCTAAACTTCTCCACAACATGCATCATACATTTTGAGATCATACAAGAGTGTCATAATACCTTACACTTAACCAACCACAACTTTGGATCCTTAATGGATGGCAAAAGCTGCTGCATGCTTGTTTCGTCATCACATTCTGCATTTTAGGCATCCAATTTAATCCATCAGAAGCATGTGGAACAAACTTTACAAATTAACTATGCTAAGCTGAAAAAATAACTGTTGATCTTGTGCAAATGTTTTCTCAATAATTTTATTGTTAAATTAAAGATTTTTTTCTACATAATTTTTCTAATCAGAGTTTCAATGAGGCATATTCCTAATGAGGTGAAAACCCTAGGGACTGTCGTAAGGTGTAGGGTGCAAATACAGTGTTGACAATAGTTGTTTCCATGAACAGTTTAAGTGTTATAGCATGACCCCATGTAGTGCCGAAAGAAAAAGTAAAGGTTGGAGAAGCATAAGTAACACAGAATGCCAAAGTCGTGACAGAATACAAGAACTTTATATACTCAAGATACAAAACATAAATCTGCCCATCCAAAATTTAAACCCATAAACTCAGGATACAAAACATGCATGACTCAGCAAAACAACTTTCTAGCAAAATTCAACAATTCGCATCAACATATACCCTTAATTTATCAAACAAAAACAAATACATGGAAATGCCATGAAATGGTGATGATGATAAGGATAGAATAGTGTTACGATGGAGATCCCAAGCTCTTCTTCTTCTTCCTTCCTCTATCTCTACCCTTGGTTGGACCTCCCTTGCTCCCCCTCTGTCCTTTTTTTGTTTTCCCTTAGCTAATGTTGTGTGCAAGGGTTGGGTAGAAATGCGTCCTCTCTTATTGCAAATGAGAGGCACATGGATTTCCATTAAGCAAATGCTATCTAATTGCATCTCTCCCCCTACCAACTAAATAAATAACACAAAAGTCCATATGTGACCCCACTAGCATATTGGTTATACAAGGCACCCAATATAAAGGGACATAGAATTATATAGATAAAAGCAAATCTAGATTCATAAAGCATAAAATTAAAGAACAAAGCATATACATGAAGGACAAAATATATATCACATACAAATAGAGCAATTAAATGAAATGCATGGCATTTCACCCGTTAAAATCTGGGGTTGGTGAAGCAGAAGTCATAACACAGAATGTTACAAGTCGTAACAACAGAATACAAGTACTTTATATCGCCAATTCATCTAAAAATATGTATGAAGTGCTGACATAAAAGAAGATAATAAGATTGACAGATAGTGTTCCCTACATTACCTAGAGTTTTCTCTTATTTAGATGCAAATTTTTGGTTGGCAATTTATATCAAAGAGCCAAACTTGAGAAAGGAATAGGAGGCAGTGACTAGTAAATAAATTCTTTTGTTATCCCTTAAATCCAACTAATTAAAAGTCATTCAATATATATATATATATATACACATATATATAACATCAACAACTAAACATACTCCAAACTTCTATTAAATATTAAAGTATATGTTTGCACCACAAAAGTTTAGATCCTAATGGCACAACACCAAATAACAAAAGAAAGTAATATTGGTATTGAAACCAACCTCAAGAGAAACTTTCAAATTAATTGTAACAAAAATATTGATTGCACAACCTAAAATTGAAAATATGTGGATATCTGCTCACAGGCCTTCTTACCAAAAAGCCATCACTTTTAATTGTGTGAAAAAGCGTATACAAACAACAACTGCATTAAGAATTAAGTAAAGAAAGTAAAGGCATGGATGGAGATAGTATATCAAATTCATTTAATGTTTCCACTAAATTTTTAATTGTGTGAAGAAGCATATACTAACAACTGCATTAAGAATTTATTATCGAACCGTATACAAGTCCAATCAAATACTTACAAGTCCAATCAAATACTTACATAGAATTGATAGAGAGAAGAAAAATACATTCAAAAAAAAATCAAATCACGAATTCAATAATATCATAACAAATCACTCAAGAATACTTGATGAACTAGTGGCCTTACGTTCGTCTATTGTTCCAGACAGAAAGTGAAACACAATGGAGAGAGAGAGGAGAGAGCAAGAGGGCTAGCGATGGCGAAGAGAGGTTAATGTTTTCACTAAATGTTTTAATTGTGCGGAGAAGTCAACGACTGCAGTAAGAATCTGTTATTGAACTGTATAAAAGTCCAATTGAATACTTACATAGAATTGAATAAATCAAATCAAGAATTCAATAATATCATAACAAATCACTCAAGAATACCTGATGAACTAGTGGCCTTACAATCGTCCATCATTCCTAACAGAGAGTGAAACACAATGGAAAGAGAGAGTAGAGAGAGAGGAGAGAGCGAGCGATGGCGAAGACTGAAGAGAGAGTAATGTTTTCACTAAATGTTTAATTGTGTGAAGAAGTCAACAACAACTGCTTTAAAGTAACTCAAATTATAAGAGAGTTGATAGAGAGGGAAAAAAAAAAAAGAAAAAGAAGCACATACAGTGTGTGTGTGTGTGTGTGTGTGTGTGTGGTGATGGAACCAAGTCACCGTGAACATGTGTTTCTTTCTCGAAGTACTTTTTGTTAAATGTAAGGAAGAGGTATGTTATGTCACATCGCTCTTTCTTTATTTCAGAATTACAATGTTGATGCCTTGAATATTCCACATTTTTCTGCCAAGTAATACAAAGGGCAAAAACCAAATGCAGCATTACTTCCCCATCCCCCACTTTAACCAAAAACCAAATGCAGCATCAAAAGCCCAAGCCCCGGTTATTAGGAGATAGAATGCACAGGGGAATTGGAGCACGTACCAAGAAATTCCATGCAACATATACTAAAATCAATGTAAGTTCGGTTTCTCACCGCTACTACTACTTCCAACAAGTACCCAACCATAACAATAAGTAGAATGCTCAAGTATTGGAATTTTATAATTTGAAAGCGTAACACAAGATAAGTTAATAAGAAGCCACAATCAAACATACTATTTAAAACCTATGGTAATCTACCATGAATTAAGCACTTGTAGGAACTTCCAAGAAGTATACAATGAGCAGCCAAAGTGACTACTTCTGCACATTAACCATGTAATAATCTATGGTAATCTTTATAGGAATTGTAGGAACTACCCTAAAACAATTTCAAGAAGTATACAATGAGCACAATATCAGTGGTTTGCGGAAATCTGTTATCGATACCCATGCAATAGAATAGTTACACAGAATTGAATATTCAAGGCAATTGAAGAACCTCAAGAAACTAAACATCACAACAGCCAAAATAGGAGATGGATGAATCTGTTATGGACTCAAGAAACGTGCAATGTAAGTATACTTAAAGAGAATTCAAAACATATAGGGATTTTCAGAAAAAAATTACATCCAAAAAAACAAGTCCATAATCGAGAATACCTGAAGAAGTAGATGCCTTGTCCATTGATCCAATACAATGGAGCGATCGAGTAGAGAGAGAGAAAGCGGGAGCGATCGAGTAGAGAGAGAGAAAGCGTACTGTAGAGATCCCAAAAAAAAAGGAAAGAATTGCTTATAAAAATTTTTTAAATAACTTGATTAGTCTTCTAAATATATATACTCTAGTACTTAATAATAATACATGGAAGAAAAGTAACAAATTAATGACAAAATCCATGATTTTGTTAAAGTCTTAACTCTTAAGGTCTTCTCACTGCCAAGGGAAGCAACTCAATCCGGACCTCAATTTCCTTTACAATCTAAACGGTAAAGTGAAATTTGATTCAAACACCATTCATCTTAACAGTTAGTTTAATGTTGAGGGAGAATTTATTCGCACGTCTATCATCACAGAAATAACAGTTTAACTTTTTAGGGAAAATTACATATACATGGAGTCAAAGTTTCATATTTACTTAGAGGCTGAGTCAAAATTCCATATTTCTCTAAAATGGATTGCTGAGGTGGCACATGATTTTTTACCGTTTAGAAATTGTGGTGCCTAAAATACCCTTCCGCGAAGGTACTACTTTTTTGAACTGAAGGTACTACTTTTTGGTGTCCAGGTACCATATTTTTTAAACACCCGCGAAGGTACTACTTTTTCTTCGAAGGTACTACTTTTTTGAACTGAAGGTACTACTTTTTTGTTAGGGAAGGGCATTTTAGGCACCATAATTTTTTAAACACTAAAAAATCATGTGCCACCTCAGCAATCCATTTTAGAGAAATATAGAATTTTGACTCAGTTTCTAAGTAAATATGAAACTTTAACTCCATTTATATGTAATTTACCCAACTTTTTAAGCCCATCACCATCATATTGTTCGTGTTATGTCATTTTGGATTGAAACAATCTTTACTTAGAAAATCTTGAATCATTTCTAAAATTTTCATTATACTTTTTTCTCAAAGGAGTTTGGTTAGGCACAGGTCTCATAGTTCCTTCAGAGAGACGATACTTTGTAATCAATTAATATTAAGAATCAAATTGATGAAAAAACGATATTATATTAAAAAATCATTTTACACAAATTAAGGCCTAGAATAACCCAATTGAACACTGAAACTTAGCATAGTAAATAGACTGATAATTAAACAAACAAAAACCAAATATTAATTGATAAAACAAAATAAAAAAACTACAAAGAAAGTAATGTTCAAAGAATAGAGACAGCCAAGGCCGGCCCTGAGATTCCAAATATTTTGAGAGGCCCTAGGCAAACTTTCAAATGTGAGACCCTTGAGTTTCACACGTGCAAAAAAGAATTATAAAAGTGTGAAATTTTAACACAATGTTTTCAAATTCTATAGCTAATATAATTGCGCCCCCGTGCATTGTGCATAAAATAACTAACTAATAACTATAAATTTATCGCCACCAACAAATAATTGTGCGCCTATACAATGTGCATAAGACAACTAACTAATAAGTATAAATCTATCACCACCAATAAATAATTGTACGTCTGTGCAGTGTGCTTAAGACAACTAACTAATAATTATAAATTTTTATCACCACCAATAAATAATTGTGCGCAAATTGTGCACATGTGCAGTGTTGCATAAGATAGCTAACTAATAACAATAAATTTATATATTAAAGAGTACGAAATTTTCACAGGCACAAAATAAAAAATGAAGAGAACAGTTTACTAGAGAACAAAAAACTACAGCTTCTTTTACATTCATTGTTTATATAGCTATTAAAATTTGATGATTACAGATGACAAAAATATGTGGAGATGAGAGTGACTATATATATATATATATATATATATATATATATATAGAAGGCAGAACTTGTGGTACTGAAAAAGTAGTGGGACTTTTAGGTTATATGTGGCATCCACTATCATATATAGTTTTGTCTTTCACTCTTTATATTAACTACACTATCCTTTGTGTGTTTTTTTGGGAGCCAATTACCTGCAGTGATTGATTGATCATTGCTACAGAAGACCTGTGCAAATTGATAGAAAAAATCATTAACTTTTGTTTTGTTAAAGCCTGCTCTTGATTTCCATGTGTTTGTACATTCTGATGACAAGTGCTTTGACAGTATTATTAACCAAAATTCTAGCTGAGCCAACTTCAAATAACATCAATAATGGTGGTATGTATCTTCATATAAAAATAAAAATAAAAAAAACCCTTAATTTGGCACTTTTAAGTATGAGCATAATTTAGAGATCGAAAAAGTTAATTATTACCTCAACCCACTTGTAGAAGGGATCCTTAATTTTCGTGGGATTGAATGTGAAAACGCAAAAAAATATGAGGAAAATGGTATGGTTGCTGCTGTTGTGAGATTGGAGTGGACTTAGGGGAGAGGAAAAAAAAAAGGACTTACCATAGATAATGGACTCGATAGCCATGAAAGACACGTGGAGAAAGGCACACATTTATTAAAATACTAAGAGAACCATAATATATTCATTCAGCTTTTGATAGCCATCACACACAGTGACACACACATACACACACACAAAAAAAAAACCCTAGCTACTTTTCACTATTGGAACAAAGGTAAAGGCCCGAATCAAACGAACCAAAGTTAGAACAAATCAAATGATGAGATGAACGAAAGAAAGAAACATATATAAAAGATCGATTCATGCAAAAGGAGAGAGGAGAGAGAGAGAGAGAGAGAGAGGATGAACATACATTGTCTCCTGAGAAGGCTGCGCTACTTTTCAAACCCTCGCTATGTTTCACTATTGGAACAAAGGTAAAGGCCGAATCAAACGAACCAAAGTTAGAACAAATCAAATGATGAGATGAACGAAAGAAAGAAACATATATAAAAGATCGATTCATGCAAAAGGAGAGAAGAGAGAGAGAGAGGGGATGAACATACATTGTCTCCTGAGGAAGTTGCGCTACTTTTCAAACCCTCGCTACTTTTCACTATTAGAACAAAGATAAAAGCCGAATCAGACGAACCAAAGTTAGAACAAATCAAATGATGAAATGAACGAAAGAAGGAAAGATCGATTCATGCAAAAGGAGAGAGAAGAGAGAGAGAGGATGAACATACCTTGTCCACCTGAGGCGATAGCGGAGGCTGCGCCCTGTGGAGTGCCGGGCTCAAATCCCCTGCTGTGAGTTACCATGCAGTCCCCTACTGTGAGCTGATGAAAGGCCTTAGTTTGGCCACGTGTGCTTCAGTTTGTAATATGTCTGTGGGCTCCACTAAAATGGTGCAAAACGCATTATTCCGTTAAATCTGTCTTCCGTTAAACATCCATCTCTCGGCATCTCTGAAAAAGCCCAAAAGAGCTGGCTCTACAAATTAATTGAGCCGTATCCAAAAAATTGGGTTGAGCCGTCTCCACATTTCTTCTTGAGCCGGCTGTCCATTATTTTTTTTTTCTTTTATTTTTATTTTTTTTTTGCTTGGTAAGGAGCCGGCTCTAAAAATTCTGATCACAAGAACTCTGATCACATTCACCATCAAAATAAGCTATTGACACAGTTCTATAAAACTAATTTCACACCTCTGTAAAACTAATTTGACACCTAAATTTAACATTTTTTAATTCTTTCATTTGTTATCTGTTAGTGTAAATTATGATATTTTTCTACTTGAAATTGACATTGGTTAAGCATTTTAGCATATTTGAAATGTTGGATAATTGTAGGATTTTTTTCTACAATCTTCAATAACCATTCTAGTAAATGTAAAATCTTACATAATTGTTTTTTTTAACTGAGTTGGCTTCATTAGGTACCAATTTGTTATCCAAATATTTTTTCTTCTCATGTATGCGGCAATTACACATTTCATAGGTTATTATGTGACATTTATGAGAAAAAATACATTGTGAAGTTTAATAAGTAGGGACACTGATTACCTTCACCATCAAAATAAGCTATTTACACAGTTCTACTAAACTAATTTCACACCTATGCAAAACTAATATCACACCTAAATTTAACATTTTTTAATTCTTTCATTTGTCATCCGTTAGTGTAAATTATGATTTTTTTTTTACTTGAAATTGACATTGGTTAAGCATTCTAGCGTATTTGAAATCTAGCGTAATTGTAAGATTTTCTTCAATAATCTTCAATAACCATTCTAGTGAATGTAAAATCTTCCGTAATTGTTTTTTTTTTTTTAACTGAGTTGGCTTCATTACGTACCAGTGTGTTATCCAAATATTTTGTCTTCTCATATATGCGGCAATTACACATTTCACAAGTTATTATGTCACATTTCTAAGAAAAAATACATTGTGAAGTTTAATAAGTAGGGACACTGATCACCTTCACCATCAAAATAAGCTATTCACACAGTTCTACAAAACTAATTTCACACCTCTGCAAAACTAATTTCACACCTAAATTTAACATTTTTTAATTCTTTCATTTGTCATCCGTTAGTGTAAATTATAATATTTATTTACTTGAAATTGACATTGGTTAAACATTATAGTGTATTTGAAATATTAGATAATTGTAGGATTTTCTTCTATAATCTTCAATAACCATTCTAGTGAATGAAAAATCTTCCATAATTATTATTTTTTAACTGAGTTGGCTTCATTAGGTACCAATGTGTTATCCAAATATTTTGTCTTCTCATGTATGCGGCAATTATGCATTTCACAGGTTATTATGTGATATTTATGAGGAAAAAAACATTGTGAAGTTTAATAAGTAAGGACACTGATCACCTTCACCATCAAAATAAGTTATTTACACAGTTTTGTAAAACTAATTTCACACCTCTGCAAAACTAATTTCACACCTAAATTTAACATTTTTTAATTCTTTCATTTGTCATCTGTTAGTGTAAATTATGATTTTTTTTTTACTTGAAATTGACATTGGTTAAGCATTCTAGCGTATTTAAAATCTTCGATAATTGTAGGATTTTCTTCTATAATCTTCAATAACCATTCTAGTGAATGTAAAATCTTGCATAATTGTTTTTTTTTTAACTGAGTTGGCTTCATTAGGTACCAAAGTGTTAGCCAAATATTTTGTCTTCTCATGTATGCGGCAATTCCACATTTCACAGGTTATTATGTCACATTTCTGAGAAAAAATACATTGTGAAGTTTAACAAGTAGGGACACTGATCATCTTCACCATCAAAATAAACTATTTACACAGCTCTGCAAAACTAATTTCACACCTAAATTTAACATTTTTTAATTCTTTCATTTGTCATCCGTTAGTGTAAATTATGATTTTTTTTTTTTTTTGAAATTGACATTAGTTAAGTATTCTAGCGTATTTGAAATCTTGGTTAATTGTAGGATTTTCTTCTATAATCTTCAATAACCATTGTAGTGAATGTAAAATCTTCCATAATTGTTTTTTTTTTTAACTGAGTTGGCTTCATTAGATACCAATGTGTTATCCAAATATTTTGTCTTCTCATGTATGCGACAATTACACATTTCACAGGTTATTATGTCACATTTATGAGAAAAAATACATTGTGAAGTTTAATAAGTAGGGACACTGATCACCTTCACCATTAAAATAAGTTATTCACACAGTTCTGTAAAACTAATTTCACACCTCTGCAAAACTAATTTTACACCTAAATTTAACATTTTTTAATTCTTTCATTTGTCATCCGTTAGTGTAAATTATGATTCTTTTTACTTGAAATTGACATTGGTTAAGCATTCTAGCATATTTGAAATCTTGGATAATTATAGGATTTTCTTCTATAATCTTCAATAACCATTCTAGTGAATGTAAAATCTTCCGTAATTGTTTTTTTTTTTTAACTGAGTTGGCTTCATTACGTACCAGTGTGTTATCCAAATATTTTGTCTTCTCATGTATGCGGCAATTACACATTTCACAGGTTATTATGTCACATTTATGAAAAAAAATACATTGTGAAGTTTAATAAGTAGGGACACTGATCACCTTCACCATCAAAATAAGCTATTCACACAGTTCTGTAAAACTAATTTCACACCTCTGCAAAACTAATTTCACACCTAAATTTAACATTTTTTAATTCTTTCATTTGTCATCCGTTAGTGTAAATTATGATTTTTTTTACTTGAAATTGATATTAGTTAAGCATTCTAGCGTATTTGAAATCTTGGTTAATTGTAGGATTTTCTTCTATAATCTTCAATAACCATTCTAGTGAATGTAAAATCTTCCATAATTGTTTTTTTTTTTAACTGAGTTGGCTTCATTAGATACCAATGTGTTATCCAAATATTTTGTCTTCTCATGTATGCGGCAATTACACATTTTACATGTTATTATGTCATATTTATGAGAAAAAATACATTGTGAAGTTTAATAAGTAGGGATACTGATCACCTTCACCATCAAAATAAGCTATTCACACAGTTCTAAAACTAATTTCACACCTTTGCCAAACTAATTTCACACCTAAATTTAACAGCTCTTGGGATTTAATGGAGCCGGCTCTTGAAGTTCAATGGAGCCGGCTCTTTGAGTTGGCAGCCGGCTCATAATAAATATGGAGCCGGCTCTCAGAATTTTTAGAGCCGGCTCCTTGCCAAGCAAAAAATAAAAATAAAAATAAAAGAAAAAAAAAATAATGGACAGCCGGCTCAAGAAGAAATGTGGAGATGGCTCAACCCAATTTTTTGGAGACGGCTCAATTAATTTGTAGAGCCGGCTCTTTTGGGCTTTTTTAGAGATGCCGAGAGATGGATGTTTAACGGAAGGCAGATTTAACGGAATAATGCGTTTTGCACCATTTTAGTGGACCCCACAGACATATTACAAACTGAAGCACACGTGGCCAAACTAAGGCCTTTCATCAACTCACAGCAGGGGACTGCATGGTAACTCACAGCAGGGGATTTGAGCCCGTGGAGTGCCGAAGCAGATTGTGTCGTCTGAAACTTGCTCCAGCTTATTTTTATTATTATTATTTTTTTTCATCCCCTATGGGCCTCAAAATTTGAGGCCTTCTAAAATCTGAGGCCCAAGGTGACCGCCTTGGTCGCTTTGGGCCAGGGCGAGCCCTGGAGACAGCATATCCAGGTGAGAACGAAAGAAGTAAATATAGATGAGTATAAACCATTCAAACACCAACTCACAAATATGGAAGACTTTTGTGTTCAATCTTCCAAAAAAAAAATTAAAGAAAAATTAGGGTTTTAAAAGAAAATCAATTAAGTTTTAAAAGAACTACAAAATGGAACAATATTTACAAACAATCAATGGATTTCCAAAATGAAATTCCATTTCTATGTTTGGAACCAATTGAATTTAAAGTTGGATTTAAAAGAGAATTTGAAATAAAAATAATATTATACCATTTTTGCCCTTGTTTAAATGATAAATAAAATATTTATTTTATTGTCGACAAACAAAGAGAAGGACCATGATATAACTGAAATATAAAATTTACTTATTTAACAGATCACGTAAAAAAAGAGCAATTATTTTTTAATTAAAAAACTAACTTATTAAACATCACCAACATACTTAAAAAAAATCACTAAAAAGTAAAATAACATTGAACAGTTATATGAGAGAGTAGTATGGAGATAGTTAAATAACGTTGGAGATAGAGATATGGTAATATATATTTAATAGGATAAGGTTAGATGAGAAAAAGACAGTTGGAGATTAAGTAGTAGATATTGTACAAGGTTAATTAAGATAATATGGTATTTATCTTTCAAATCCCGTCAAATCCTATCGTTTTAGTCAGGATTTGAAACATATCAAAAACAGTATTTGAAATCCCATAACTTTAAAATCCCGTTCACAATCCGATTATTTCAAACACAGTAAATCCTATTTCTAAATCCAAATCCCATCAAATCCAGCATTCCAAACACAGCGTAAAGGTATTAGGGCTCATTACCGAGCCATTTGTCTTTAAGTACTCATTACCAAACCATTTGACTTTTGGTCAACTAAAAAAAAACCGAGATTTTCAGAGAAATTTGAGACACAGGAAATTATATTGAAATTTTATACTGAATTTTGAGACACAATAAATTATATTGGAATTTTATACTGAATTTTTTACGTGTAAAATATACTATTTTTTTTTTTTTTTTTTTATCTCTGTTTGGCTCTAAATTTTTTGCAAGGGATAGAATTGTCAAATCT